GTTTTATATCTCTTCGCTTGAAGAAGATAGGAGTTTCTCCGGTTGTAATATTTCGAATATACTACTCAGGTTGCATAGGCTCTGAAATCTTTCTTTAGTTTGAGAAATTAATGTATCTAAACAGCAATAGTATACATTGACTTTGAAATAGGATTCCGGGTCGGAAATTCTCTCATCTTGTGATAACTCATCAAAAAAACGCTTCGTTATCTTTCGCCTACTGTTTTTAAAAACAGTTGTTACCCCCCCACTTTTTTGCTAAATCTTTGGATTCATTTAGCAAACTATTAAATGAATTCTGATTTCTTAATTGGCACAGTCTATTTAAAAGATTACTTAATAAAATACTAGATTTCTGTAAGTCATTATTTTCATGCTGTAGAGCTTTAGAAACAGGATTAATAATTTCAAATAGTGAAGAAAAAAATGTAACGAGCACTAAGAAATCAAAACTCTCTAAAATATTAATTATACTTTTACAATCCTTCACGTTCATCTTTTTTATTTGAAATAAAATTTAGTTGGTACAAAGTTTTCATGATTAGTAAAAAAATTTTCTTTACTGCTAATAAAGCGTCGTTCCTAGAAGACCATCTGGTAGGACATACCTTTTTAAGGGTAATCAAATATTTTTCAGATGAATCGTCACTTAGCATAGCCCAGCGTTTTATACTATTGCCAAAAAAGTATATATTTTTTCTAAATTATCGAAAAAAGTCGATACTTCACGAACATGTCTCGCAGCATCGTTCAAAACCAAGTTTAAAGCGTGCGCAGCACAATGAACATAATCGGCATTTGGAGCATGCTCTTTTATTAGGGTTTGTAATCCTCCATACACACCCGACATAACATTTGCTCCATCGTATCCCTGTCCTCTACATTTAGTCAAATCAATTCCATATTCTTTAGTCAAATTTAAAATGACAGTTTTCAGACCTGCAGCACTGCAATCGGTTACTGCTATGAATCCTAAAAAGGACTCACAGATTTTTATTTCTTTAGGCACATTATCATCATTTTCTGTAACCGAGATATATCGAAAAACTACAGATAGTTGGTCAATTTTTCACAAGTCTTGTGTTGTATCCAGAATTATTGTCAGAAATGGAGCTTTTTTAATTTCTGAGATAATACTGTTCCTAACGTTAGTACCAAGCAAACTAATAATTTCGTTTTGAATCGTAGGGCTTAAATAATTTATTTCACCTTTCGGTTTTAGAAAAAGTTCTTTTAAAGTTGCATCATAGTTAGATAGCAGACGTGAAATTGCCATAAAATTGCCAGAATCAGAATCATGCCCCCTCAAAGGTAGATTACAAGATACTAAAGTAATTATAACATTAATTATACGATGCAGTACATCTCTCCAGAATGTAATTTTACTATCGATTTCATTTTTCAATAGAGTATCGATGGTATTTCCTTGCAACCAATTATTATAAGAGAGTGAGGCACTAATATGCTGCTGTGACTTTTCATGGTCAAGAATAGTTTGTGTGAAATTGCTTCTAACCGAAACACCGTTAACCCAAGCAGAGGAGTACGATTTGTTTTGACGATCTGCTAATAACCAACAGAAGTGACATTACGGTTTGTTTAAAACGTTAGAATAACATAACCATGGTCTTATAATTTTTATGCCTGCCTGATTGAAATATGAATAATAATAAGCTGAAAAAGGTCGGTTATTTTCTGAAACTTTTGGAAATGGTCCTTGTGGTTTAAATGGACCCAATTTAAAAATTATTTTTCGTTCGCATTCAGTTAAATTGTCACCAAAATTTCCTCTATCTGATGAAATTATATTACAATCTGCATTATCTGCAGATATATCAGAATCGTTGACTTTGGGTTCCTCGATTTCTGGATGGACATCCGATAAAGTATGTGCTTGGCTTTCTTCTATTTCCGGATGGATATGTGACGAAGAACATGCTTCAGAAGAATCTAAAAATAAACGAGTAATTGTTAAAAAATAAATACGAATGTTTGATACTAAACTAAAAAGAGTTATATATAAATAAATAACGTTACTAAGGGTCACAGTTAGAGAGTGTTCAGTTCAGACGCACACAGATTCTACGCGGATTGTGCTCGTACCTATTAGTAGATACAAAATCACCTGCAGCCCGTCCGTGCATTACTATACACCTGCGTGCTATTTAAACGCAGCGCGTAGTGTAGTGGCCATACAAAACGAGAACCCGAAAGCGAGTCTGCACATCTGAAGTTCTCAACACGCAATTAACGATACGATACGGACTGATAAACAAACAACAAAACAAATCGATCCTATAGATAAGTTAGAATTTTGTTTTTTTTAATCAAGGCACGGAACCCTAAAAACAGTATAATTGTGAAAATCGAGAGGGGAGACAACTTTTTGTGACGGACAGATGGACAGACCGAAATTAAAAGATTTCCTTGTTTATCACTACGGGCCCCTAATAAATGGGTTGGGTAGTAGTGTAGTACTTACCTTTCCAATCTAAATCACTCACAGTATCTTGTCTCTGTAAAAATGAAGAAATTTTGGGCACTTTTTTTTATAACCTCGTCCCTTTTCTGTTTAATTTTTCTATTCTCAGCGCCGCTGGGATAATCTCTTTTTCTTTCACTCATTTCTTTTACAAATCGTTACTAATACTGCTAAACCAGAAGAACAATATTGTTTGTACTGAATTACAATGTAATGCACATTTATATAAAGCGCGTAAATAAACAGTGCACTGCACTCCGTGGTTTAACATCCAATGCAAAGTACAACAACGTACACGTACATCGCGATATCGATGAAGGATTCCCGGGGATTCTCCGCTGAGTTGAAGATGAAGTAAGTAAAACGGGGAAGTCCCGCAGCCCGCCATAACGATGTAGTGTTGCCAACTTTTGAACGCACGCTTAAGGCGGGAAAAAAAGGAATTGCTTTATAGAATTTTGTCATTTGTAAAATAAAATAAATTAGAAAGTTTTTATTCTTTTTCCTTACACACTTTGGGGGCCCCCGTGGCCCGGGGGCCCCGTATAATTGATACGGCAAATACGGCGGTAGCTACGCCCCTGGATTCGTTAATAAAAGAAGCATAAAAAAACGGAAGGACAATTAAGGTAGTAAGTACCATATAGTTTGTAGCATAGCATGTTGATGTGTTTGTTTACTTATTCTATAATATTTATGTAGTTATGTTATTTATCAGATTTTTTATAAGTAGTAACCCTACTGTAACGGCCGTTTTCGCTTAAATGAGACGCTACACGTTTGCGTGGTTTCACCATTTTGAAGATAAAGCTTACACTTAGCGGCTTAATTTATTACTACGAAATTAGCCCATACAATTTGTTAATAGGACCCAGGAAACCCTTATTACATGAACGAATATTACATACCTTTAAGAGACTTTGTTAAAACTCCAAAACTGTAATTATTCTGATTGTTACTAATAAATGTAATGACTTTCTGAATGTCCCCGAGCAAAACATTATTTTAGTATTTTGTTGTAGTGGCACTAGCGTCGTCATATCAGTGCGTCTTACGAAAGGTGCAACCTATGATTACGTTTGAAGATTTTTAATTATTTTTTGTAACAAAATTGAAAGCGCAGGACATTATGGCGCGGACACTGCGAGTTAAACAAATTACAATTAACGGCTGGGTTAAAAAGAAAATACAGAACAGCTCATTTATTCTATATTGATTTAAAGTTTTGACAGAAAATCACGGATTTATCACTGACACAATTTTTGATACGTATTATGATTTAGTACCTTAGATACTATATTTAATTACAGGATTTTGAATGTTAAAAATATAAAAAAAAAGGTTGCGTGTACTTATGTACGCGCGTAAGAAGTTATACTTCTTTGGCGTTCTTTATTTTTTTTAAATATAATTAATTAATAATAATTAATATTTAACGTAAACAATTTAATATTTAGTATATTATTGAATTATTAATTAATATTAATAACAATTATTATTATTATTTATTATTTTATTATATTATTCATTCAATTTAATAACTTGGTATGTTTCATAACCTTTTAACTAAGTAACAATAGGTCTTTGTGAAAAAGCATTGCTAAATTTCTTTGAAAAAATAATAAAAACTCCTTTATTTGTTTAAAAGGTAAATGTCATTATGGTCATACAAAATTCTTGGCATAGCTGCTAACTTCACACATATTCTATTTCTTTTTACTTGTACATTGTCTTATTCCCATCTCGCTCGCGCACGCTATAATCACACTGACAACTTTGTGACTCAGGTGCGCGCGCATCTTAAAATTTCACTCTCATCAATTTTTCATAACGCGCCTAAAGAAGTATAACTTCAATAAACAATAAAATCATCACATAAAGGCCATGCAAAATTACAATCAAAATAAAAGGTCAGTTTTGACATTTCTGTACTTGTATGACTTGGCGATTACAAAGAGTGGCGGAGAGTTTCTTGCCAGCTCTTATTGCCGGCTCTACGCCCTTGACTTGCGAACTGGTAGTAAATGTAAATTTAGAATCAATTTAACATCTTTTCTGTTGACGTTCCTAAGTGCACTTGGTTACCTATATGAATGTAGTTATTTTGAGTTTGAGTTAGATCTATTAAGTATAGCACATCACTTCCATCTTTTTTCTTCCACCTTGTCTCTGGTTTAAAAGTACGCCATCTTTGTTTACATTTTTAAGTAATTCAGAATAAATGAACTATACAATGTTGCAAACCATATTTTTAATGATTAATAGTTTCTTAACTTAAAATATTTGCAAAATCATATACAAAAGAATTTATATGTAGTGTAGAAAAATAGGTCGATAAAAGGAATCACTTTAATGAAATAATTACGGCTTCATGTTCATTACCAACGTAAATTAATGTTTGAATAATTAATATTCAAACAAATAACATCAAACGGAGTTAAGCATTTCTCTTTGGCGTTTATTAAATCTCTTAACATTTTTGTATTAGATTAATCAAATTCATGTTTTGATTTGAATAATGTGGATACAATTATTTGCGTTTATTCTTATATTAAAAAAGGTGTTGTGTGATGATGACGATGATGAAAAAACACAAAAGACACTTATAGTTGGTAAGTCTATGTGTATACCAATAACATTCTTAAGTATAAAGTTTGTGTTTCTCTCTTGAGTGAAGTTTGAGTTTCACGTACCGATCGACTCTAAGCAAGGCTTTCTCTCTCCATTAAATGCTAATTTTATTGACATAAGTTTTCAAAGGTTCAATCAAAAGTTTGTTATCCCATATGTTTTTCTCGTTACCTTATTAAATTTTTGTCGTAGACATATTATACCGATATGTAAGAGCACAGTCACTCATGCATCGAATTTATATTAAGTAATACATCATTACAATATATATTTTTACATTTAAAAAAAAAACGTGTTTGTTTTATTGTTACCATGGTTACGACAATATTTCCATGATAACGACTGCAATAAACACGATTATTTAGTCCACATTTTGAGACTGTGGCGTTATTATACAAGTGTATTTTTCAGAGACAACAACTCAGCTAGTTTACGTACACACTGATATACCGGCAAGCGATGTGGATGCGGCTCTGAACTTAGACTTTGGGAATTACACTACCATGCGCTTTAACTATATCAACAGTCAATTTGACAATTTGTATGCGGAAGAGCGTTGTTACGATGATTATATGAAATGCTTATTGACGCAGTAAGTTTAGTACCATCCTAATATTGCATATATGAGTGTTTGAATGCGATAACTTAAAAAAAACGACGGGTTGCACTCCGGGAGTGCCGGCAGAAGTGAAAACTTGAATATTAACGTTGTGCATTTTTGATATTTTGAAATGGTTAGGGAATAATTTTGCACGAATTGCTTTAATTATCAGTATAAAAGTACTATCATTTATGTGGTAGAATACAATATTTATTTATTGCGCTATCGTACACAAACATTAAATACGCCGCGCCAGCTGTCTACTCTCCATACGTCTTACGAATTTTCGACCAGTTCACGTGTCCTGACGCGAGTTTAACATTTTTTACCCATTCCAAAAAAGTGTACAACGCCGCTAAAGAAGTTTTCACTTCAAAAATCACAAATGTTTAATAAGCTTATTAATTAATAAGAAGCATTATAACCTGATCTTGGGCAATATCTGCAAGCCGTGCTAGCTAAGTGACTTTCAACCTTTCGTTCGATCGTTTCAGCCTGTTGACGTCCAATACTGTCCAGCAGTGGCTTCTTCCCTAATTTTCCAGAACGACCGGTTGCCCGCGGTTGCATACAACACCTTCCCTCCACCTTCACCAGATCATATTTCCACCTAGTGGGAGGCCATCCAACACTTCGCTGACTGGTCACCTGGTCGAGGTATAACACGACCAGGACCAGTGGAATACTTGATCATACGTTGAAGTGAATCAAAATGCCAGCACGACAAAGAAACAAAAATCTATAGAATAAATAAAGCTGTCAAACACATAATTGTTTCAGAGTAGCACCGATGCCGGTATGCGCCTACAATAATATTCGTGACGTTGATGGCTTCCTAACAGCCACTACATATTGCGATGTACACTTTGACAACTGTAGAAGGACCGTGCGTAAGTAGTCTTTCGAAATGTCCGGAGAGTTTTACTAGAATTTATACAAATGTACATTGAACGCACCGAATGAAATACTGGCTGGAAAATATTATAAGATCAATTCAGGAATGCTTAAATTACAATATATATGTAATTATTTCTCATAAATTGATAGTGGCACAGTGGATAATTGGCACAAGAAAAATTTTAGTAATTAAATTTAATGTTAAAATGTTAATAATCCAGCGCTACAACCCCTATAGGTCTTTACTGCAGATTGCATCCGATTATTTGATTATTTTTATTTTTTATAGACAAGTAGGTGATCAGCCTTCTGTGTTTGACCCATCTTTCCTCACGATGATGTCTTTAGCCGTAGGAGCAAGTGTTCAGAAAAATCTGCAGCCTTGTTGCGAAAACACAACCTTGAGAATGGCATGCTCACGCCAAAGTCATCACTGCTCAAAAATTATAATAGTAATGGTATAGCTTTGTATAATTAATAGTCTTAAAGGCGTGTGCTACCACTAAAGTGCATTTAGAAATTAATTTTTAACAACTAACATATACCCTTCCTACCCTTATAAAGGTTAAATCCTCAATTTATTAAAAGACGTATTCACGGTCGTTAATTAAGAATTTCCGGTTACTTATGCTATATAGCAATGTAAAGATAACTTATATTTTACATTTAAAATTGTCTATGATACTGTGTATGTACGAGTATGTTCATTATGAATAGATTTATCTTATAATTTGGCCAGATTTTACGAAGACGAAAAAAGTTTGCGTATGTTTTTTGAGTAGAAAAATCTAAAATCCATGCGCATATAGTTATAATACTGGCCAACTTATATGTTTGACGCTACTTTAATATAAATAATAAGTTACATCTCATCAGGTTTTTGGCGTATTCTGGACTACGGGACATGTGAACAACTGAAACAGCGCGCTGTATATCCTAAACACATAAAGCTCGGTATCCCTGAGACTTTAAGAGAATCTTTAGCTAAGACTAAACACTTCTCGGTCCTGCCCTCTCCGCATTTGGACTATAGACATTCTAGAAAGTTCCAAACACTTATGGCTAGACGTCAATTACAAAACAATGATAAAAATATTTATTAATATTACGGCAAGTTTGTTATCTGGACCTTCAAAAATTATTCTTAAATTCTTTCTTATTACACATTCAGCTATAGCCTGTGGTTTCTCTGGAGTTACCTATGCTTTACTATACGTGTACTATTCAACACCATATTTTTATATTAAAGTTTACTTTCTTGTCTGTAAAATGTTATTTATTTAATTCCTATTTTCACATTTATATATAGAAGGTGGGAATGGCTTTCGGACAATTTTTTTATTAAAACGAGTTAGCGCTTTCCGATATATTCAATCACTGTCTACTGCGCCTTATCATTTATATTAAATCGTTGACTTTTGTATCATTGAAGCGCTTATTCTATTAAATTAATATACACGATTCATGTGTAATATAAATTAATATATTATTTATTAAACATGAATGCTTCTGAAAGCATGAAACATAACAACACAGCCTAAAAGCAATTTTTCCCAATACAACAGGTTGATGGAAAATAACTGGAAATATGTGATGAACGTTCGGGCTTCAAATTTCCGCAAACAAATGGTCTAATCAAGCCCCTACGTCCCCTTTCTAGGAAATATTTTCTGGTCACAGGTTCAATGAACGTTTGAGTGTCTCATTGCTTACAAATATTCAATTATTTGGCTCCGGTTATACAAGTACTAATTATATAAGTGTTTACTTATATTTATTAATTTTTACGGCAACGTAATGTACACACAGTACAACACAGTGCAACGTTATAGTATTGTGCGTGTGTAGTAGGTTCAGTGTCTGTTTGTTGGTTGCTTGTCTATTGTTAAAATAATATATAATATGCAACTAGCTGACTAGTTTTCTAATTATATGGCTGAGACACATCGTTGGTTGTCTAGGTTAAATGGTCTATTTGTAACATAACCAAATAAAAAATATTTTTTTTAAAAACAAATAAACAACATAACCAAATAAATATTTGAGGGAACGTGCCAGAATAAATTACGCACATAGACAGAAAAAGTCGTTAGTGCACAGTCAGGGTTCAAACGCACGTCCTAAGAGTTGAGACTGGTTCACCTAGCTACTAGCCTAACATTGGTCACTATATGGACGTCCTTATGTACTCAAAGTACACTAAATAAACTTATAAGAGCTTTTTAATAATACTAAATAATGTTTCGACAGTCTGCGTACAAACAGTGCGATTTAATCATACCCAGACACGCGCTAAAAAAATATTTCGATTTCCGGCCGTTGAGGATATGTACATTGTACAACTTATCGACTACTACGCGGGCCTTTAAGCCGCCCAAGTTAGTCCTCTATAATACATTTCTTTTAAGTTGATCGATCTGACATAACTAACTCTTATAAATATTTCTACAACAAAAGCGTTTGGGATTGGCTGAGTGGAAACGTAATACATACAAATTTATCCCATATATCTAAACTCATTAAGTACCTAAGTTAAGCGTCAATTAACGAACTAAGTTTTGTATTTAAATAACATCAAAATAGATAGGCATTAACGTCCATGGAAATGATGCATAAAAATTCTAATTTAAAGTTATCTATATTTTATATTGTAACTTGGTACGACATCATTAAAATTAATTGAACTAATTATTTCCAGCATGTTCTTCGTTACATTTTGTAAGAATTATTAATTCAAGAATTAATGAATAGATTGTTAATGAATTATACTTGAAAGTTATAGTTGGGTCAAGTCAACTAATGTATACCTACATTGAGGTACTTACCTATTAATTGTAAACATAGTTAACATGTGTGCCATATGAAGCTTATTAAAGTACTAATATTAAAAAATATGTTTTTTTTAACTTCTTTAGGCGCATGAAGGTAAATTTTTTTACGGATGAAACGCAATAATAATAATATTAGCGTCACGAAGATGTGCAGCGTTTTTGTTGAAGAAAATGGAGACAGCGATAGATACCGATAAGACCTGAGAGAGAGTGAGAAGGGCGAATTATCTTATAGAAATTCTATTTTTAAAATTAAAATTTCGAAAAGAGAATTTATGTAATATTAGTATTTTATATTTTATGCAAAATCATTTATTGAAATCTCAAGTGACGAATTGTAAATTAAAATTTGTGTTTTAATTATCGTATAAATATTAAAAAAAATATAATTTGTATTAATTTTCGACACTTTTAATAATTTAATTACAACTAAATTCATTAAATTCCTAACATATCTTCCTTTTTTCCACCCTCCTAAGTCTCGGTAATCTAATATTTTAAATGAGATTTAAAAATTACTTTGCCAAAGAAGTTTCATTTCTGACATATGTACTTTGTATGCACGCACTTTTTTATTTAAATTTATTTCTCATACAAAACAATACGTATACATCGAATAAAAACAACACAACATCAAATAGTTTAATATTAAATAGATTAAAATATTTACAAAAAGACTTGAAAGAGAAAGAAAGAGGTTTGCTCAGGAACTGCTCGACCGGTCCGTGTACTCGTATTGCGAATATGAATTAAGTATGGAAACTGCAGATCGCCGTGCGGCGACCGCATATTGCAGTCGGTCTTGACTGCAACATGCGGTCCGTCTATGGCCCGCTTAACTATTTCTCACAGAATTGGCTATATTGAGGAAACAGACCTTTTGTCAGGTAACGTCAACGTACATTTAAAAACGTCTGATAATCTGTGCAGTTCATTAATTATTTCTGTACCTTGTGCCATGTGGGCCCTTTACGAGAGGTTAGTTTACCCGGAGGGTACGGATAGTAAAGGCGGTCGATGTTGCCTCCTAAAGTAACCATCAGGCACTGTGACCACCCCGTATTTCTTAATTAACACAAACCAATGGCGCGACAAACTTTTAGATCTGCCCTGCGATTCTGTAACTCACACAGCGGTTTTCGCATCGGCGGTCGCTCTCAAATCAGGCGTGAAGCAGTCATTTTATGATTTGGCATTCTAATAAACAATAAACTACAAGCTCCCACCTTTTCAGAATGCCAAATCATCGACCGCCGATGCGAAAACCGCTGTGTGAGTTCGAAAAGTGAGTTACAGAATCGCAGGGCAGAACCTTGGGTCAAAACCACTTAAGGTTATAAAGGTAGTTTACTAATAAACTAATAGAAATCGGTCTGAATTTCAACATTAAAGCAATTTACCGCTACTACTGGCGGATATTTTTTCGCCGGATTGCGATGCTAATGCGAATTAATTATGGAAGTCCGTTGTTTAAGATTCTTGTTTTCCTTTTCGAGGCGCCATGAAATTTCCGCGCCATTGAATAAACAAGTGCACTAGTGCTGATAATGAAATTTTCTTAGTTTCTCTTTGTAATTTCGTTTATTTTTTCAATTATTCAATCGTCTGTTCGCAATTAGTGAAGCGTGGAACAGAGTTTTTGTTTGGCAAAAGCAGTGCTCACAAAAAAGGCAACAAATTTGCATTAGATTTTTGAAAATAGCTTGTTTTCTTTGGAATATCAACAAAAAATTACACACAATTAGGAACAAAACACCCCGATATGTGTATTAAATTAATTTCTGAAGGTACTAATGGTATCGCTTTCTGTCTGCTAGCTTAAAAAACTGCATTCATAACTCAAAATATTATGAGTGCCCTGTACTGTTCTCAGGATCTATAAGCATCTTTTTTACCTGAAGTTAGCAAGTTGTATATCGGACAGCGATCTTAAACATGCCTTTAAACTTAGCATATAAATGCATACAATTATGAATTACATATATTTCGCGAAAAAAATACAGTGTGTCGTCATGGTTTGTTTTTTTCTCAGGAGGTACAGATTACAGGCAATATATATATATCGTCTTTGTATCAATATAAATGTAATAAATCTTATAAAACATGAGCAATATTATGAAATTTCATATTGGAAAAGTTTTAGAAAGTAACACGGCAAGTCAGTAAACAAACCACGCACAAACAGTTAAGTTATAACAAGAATAACACTCTTTATTTATCTACTTTAGTAATAAAAAGTCACACGCATAAAATCTCCGTCCTCGAATATTAATAAAATCCAACTTTGTATGTGTTGAAATTTGGAGCACTGAAAATTTTCCTGTATAGGCAAGTAGATGACCAGTTTATAAGCCCTTGGTTATAATAACTACATATATATACTTTCCTTGATTCATAAATTCTTTGTCTACTACAAATGAATAGACTTAGGTGTTGTCAAGAGCACACTAATATCTTAAGACTGCACATGGAAGCCTCCTTGTTGCCAGTGTCCATGGGCGGCGGTAAGCACTTAACTTTAAGTGACTGCTCGTTTCCCTCCTGTTCCATAAAAAAATTAAGATATTGGTTCGCACATAATATAAATAATAAATAAATGTTTGTGACCAATTTGTGTTCCACCACATAATAGGTTGGGGAAAAAGTTTATTCGCATTTTTCAAGAAAATTCACAACATTTTTTAATATAGCTTATTTACATTTAACTAAAGTATGTAGGTACCCATTTTGTTCGATAACTTTTTGCCATCTTGTAGGTAGGGATATGATCCCATTGCTATAGAAATATTGGGGCTTCTGATCAAAATACCGCGACAATTGGTTTTGGCAGTTCTCTCGTGATGTTAACCTGACACTGCCAAAAGAATTCTGAAAAGACCGAAACAGGTGGAAATCTGAAGGTGCAAGGTCAGGTCTATACGTCGGATGCATTAACACCTCCCAGCCAAGCTCTCTTAATTTTTGCTGAGTGGCCTTGATGAAAAACCACACCCCTTCTGTTGATTAAATTCCGGCCGCTTTCTCTCAACTCCTTGCTTTTATCTCATCAGTGTTTCGCAGTAGAGTTCAGAATCGATGGTCAAAAAAAAAAAAAATTGAAAAAGCTTAAACCAAATTTGTGCTACTCTCACGACACTGCACTAGGTCCATAAACATCGCAAATTTTTTTCGCGGCTTGCGTTGCATTTTTACCTTTTTTGTAGTAAAATTTTAAAATGTATCGAATTTCTTCATTAGATTCACTTATCCTGACGGTACGAAAAATAAATAAA